AGATAGCTCCAGTTCTCCCACAGTAGTGTCACTAGTACTAATTGTACTCCCCCCCCCTCCCCCGGGTAGGCACCGACGGATTATGCCGGCATAATTATTGGCATAATTTGATGGTTGAAAATTTGGAGCATAATTTGGCATCCTCTCGAAGGTAGGAGCATAACTACACGAGTATACCACAGTTCTAGTATGTAGGCTATACAATTGTATACAATGCACCTGATCAGTGCTGGTGGTCTGCATGGTAAAGGGTTCCGAGGTCATGCAGATTGTGTTTTCAATGAAAAGCAGCGAAGAAATCATGGCAATACAGTCACGGTATTGTATGCTCGAACTCGTCTTCTTCAAAGTTCTTTCTCACACTGACACAGTACATGATGTAGCAGAAGATGCGAGTGAATCAGCCTTCAGCAGGTATCCCCGGGGGCGGACGAGGTAGTGGCGGGTAGTCCGCAAAACTCCGTTTACATGACTGTACATGTACATTACATTGGTACATTATGAATGTTACGAAGTCATGACCTCTGGATTTTAGCAGTCATGATAAGACTGCAGGCCCGGGAGGGGGGTAGGGTATGTCCGCTTGGTAGTGTACTATCGCTAGTAGTTTTTGTACTGGATATTTTCTAATTTCTCAGTTTCTCAACAGTAATGTTACCGAACGTGCAGTAACCTATTACAGTACCTCAGTAAGCCATCAACTTTTCCTATGCCTTTTATGCTTGCTTTGCTCTGTAGCCCCTGCCCAGCTGCCCGGGAGTCAAAATCCGTTTTGTGAAGAGGCTCTGCGTCATGTAGAGCTTTACTGTAAGGATGACACCACTAAAACTTGGAGAGTCGGTGATAGATGTTTTCTTGCACGCAAGGAGAGACGTCTCTATTGCACCTGATACTGGTAAAGTAATGTAAGTATGCATGATATGTATAGAATGTACACCAATGTCGTAGTGTTTATTGGGAATTAACACCTGCATGATAGTACACCCAGCTGGTATTACCCCCCCCCCCCCCCAATCTCCTCTTACAGGTTGTAACGTTTCGACTTTCAAGGGAATTTGAAATTTTCTCTCCAATCGGGCTTGAATGTGCTACGTCACAGCATAGCAACAATTTCAAAAATTCAAAAACTGGATCCACTTGGATCCAGTTTTTGTATGGATCCAAGCGCTATTGCTGGCGTCGGGGTTGTAACCGTATTTAGGGCCCAGTTGCAGCAGGTGGTCCCACCATACCCGAAGTCGACGAAGTCGCCCACCGGCGCCCGAGTGGTCAGCAAACCAAGCCTGAACCACTCTGGGGATCGCCATTGCCTTGATCAGAGGGAGAATCCCCAACGCATACATGGCCATTGCGACCGGGTCCCCTTGTATGAGCCCTTTGCAACACAAGATGGTCTCTCCGCCGACGTGAAGAGCCGCTTGATGACGGTACGTGTTGATTACGAGGGGCACGAGCGAGGGGCAGATGTGTGGGTATTGTGGAGGCAGGCCTTCCTGTTCAGGCCATTGAAGGCATTTGCAGCGTCGGCTAGTAGAATACCTCCGTATCTGGGCTGTCGAATACGGACCTCATTGCATATATGGCCGCCTCGATGCCATTCTCGTGTCCTGCGCAAAGCTGGAGACTGCCGGCGGCCTCGCGAATGTCTTCGCCAATTATGGACAAAATGGCCTTTCCGATGATCCGGCGGACAGTTTCGCCGATGCCAATCGACCTCACTCCTGTCCGTTTGTCCAGGGGTTAAGTCGACAGGCGTTGAAGGCCTCCAATGCAGCGTTCGACTCCTTTTCTCGATCGAACACGGTTGAGTACGCGGCCACGTGCTGATGCGTATATCAGTCACCTGGTCACCGTGCCCACAGGCTGCAACTTACAGCAAGTTTAGTGTGCGTTCCTGTCACTCGAGTTGAGCCTTGTTGTGAAAGTAACAGCCTGCAGGCACTAGAGAGGTTTTAAAAGTTTTACGTAAAAGTCTTACGTCCGTGAACTTTACGTCAAAATTTCAAAAATTCACGTAAAATTTGGCGTGTTATACGTGAGTTGACTGTACCACGCGTAGTAACGTGACTTGGGTTTTCGGAAGTTTTGTTTGATCATCCCGATTGGATTTGTGTGAGTATTCATAGTTTTATCGAGTTTGTTGTAAGATTTAAAATTTGTATGTTGAGAAAATTCTGCTGTTCGAACTCAACCCGAATCTAGCCATGGCAATATTTCACGTCACGTCGCACGTGTAACTTAAACCTCTAAAATTTACATGTAACCTGAGATTTTCACCGTGCTTTGGAAAAAGTTTCTCAATCATGGTCTTAAACCAACCCGCTGTGCCTGCCTGCAGTCCTGCTTGGAAGCGGAAGGATTTTTTTCCAACCGTGCTGCGACCCACAGTTAATTGGGAACTGGTGGCCTGGCATGAGTAAAACATGGATGTGGCAAATGGGATTTAGGCCGTTGGCCTCTGGTTGGTGGATCTGATCTATCCTCCCCCACCGTTTAGGAGCCGCATCTGATGCCTGATCATGGGTTGGTGGCGTCCCACGGAAGCGGAAAGGTGGTTCTTGACCAGGGAGTTGTACGACTCCTTGTTCTTGACCTGCCCGGTACGTGAACCCGTCGAATTTTGTTGTGTTTTGAATAGTGGTGAAACGAATATACCGAATATTCGAATATTCGTTCGGTTTGTCACATTCGAACAAATATTTCTCATGGCGAATATTCGTTAACCCGGTATGCAGAGTTTACCGGGCAACTTCAAACCTCCATAACTTCGTGAATACTTGACCGAATCACTTCATCGAAAGATCTATCGGCATTAGAATACTCACAGCTGTCGTCTCGAAGCAACCCGAACGCGAGCCGAGGTCCTGGAATGGAGTTATGGCTGTCGAACGAAAATCACGTCTCAAGCTGGGTTTTTAGCGTGTAACATTCACTTCAGCTGGGGATTTGGTGAAAATTGACCTAGAAATGATGGAAAATATGCGCCTTCGTTTGTCATGCCTAATAATAGCAAGAGTACATTTTATATACTCTTGATAATAGTGACAATATCCAATAAAATGACTGAGAGGAGGGCGTGTGATGTCATCCGTGTTAACGAAAGAATATTCGTTCGTTCGTTCGTTAAGCCAAAGAATATTCGGCTACTGGGTTTTGATATTCGTTTCACCACTAGTTTTGAAAAAAGTAAAAAAAAAATGTGTATTTCTAACCTCTCTACTGTGTTAGAGTTCCACGGACTCCACTTACATAGAAATATGTGGGATTTGTGGTAATTATTCGAAGTTAGCAAATTCAAAGTTCACTTTAATTATAATAATATAGAAAAGTCGGAAAAGGACATTATTATTATTATTATTATTATTATTATTATTAAGTAGTGGTTGCGACTTCGGCGATGATTTGTAAGAAAGGTTTGCTCCCCACACCGGAGCTCGCAAGTCAAGTCAGTCAAGTGTCAAGTCGGCGGAATAGCGCGAGCTCCGGTGTGGGGAGCAAACCTTTATTATTATTATTATTATTATTATTATTATTTTAACTGGTTTGAGGGAAAGAGACAAACGGGAAAAGTCTGAAGAAAAAATTGACTGTCACCACCAGGACTCAAACCAGGGACCCTCGCTTGTAGCCAGCGATGCTCTAACCACTGAGCTATGGTGTAGTCGTCATCCCAGCAGAGGCCGTTCAAATTATTATTATTATTATTAAGTACGAAGTATTGGTTGCGACTTCGGCGATAATTTGTAAGAAAGGGTTTGCTCCCCACACCGGAGCTCGCGCTATTCCGCCGACTTTACTTGACACTTGACTGACTCACGACTGCCATCCAGAGCACACGAGAAGTCCATCGAACCTTCGACTCTGCAAACCTGCAAGAAAGCACCACTCCCTGCTCAATACACAGTGTTTCGGGGAATTCACCCCTCATCAGTTGAGCTTGAGTAGGCTGAGGAAGATTGTGCCTGAAGAGCACCACTTATATAGTGCTCTCCAGGCACAAACATCACCAGGGATACAAACTTACAGAGACGCTCCGCTTCCAGCGCGACAAACACCTCGTGAACACCAGATAGCAGCGTGAGTCAGTGTCGCTCCTGGACGGTGAGACAGACGTCGAGGACCCTCGGTCATTCGCAACGCTGTCACCTCCAAACCAACTAGTCGCAAGCCGTTTCCCTGGTGATGTTTGTGCCTGGAGAGCACTATATAAGTGGTGCTCTTCAGGCACAATCTTCCTCAGCCTACTCAAGCTCAACTGATGAGGGGTGAATTCCCCGAAACACTGTGTATTGAGCAGGGAGTGGTGCTTTCTTGCAGGTTTGCCGAGTCGAAGGTTCGATGGACTTCTCGTGTGCTCTGGATGGCAGTCGTGAGTCAGTCAAGTGTCAAGTAAAGTCGGCGGAATAGCGCGAGCTCCGGTGTGTGGAGCAAATCCATTATTATTATTATTATTGTTATTTGCACTCGAAAACACCGCCATTCCGGCAACAGGCTCTCAGCTGCACCAAATAAATAACTTTGCCAATATTTCGCCCATTGGGCATCATCAGGGCATTGAGGAAGGGGAGGCCAAATTACGAAATATAAAGACGAATAATGCAGGCAGATGAATGTTCTAGAACTAACACATCATGGTGACACAATTGGCAAGGCCAGCAAACTAAACAATCATCACTTGTAAGGTGACCTAAACAAAACGAAAGATGAGAAAACTCACACATACACACAGACACACTGATTTGGCAAGAAAACTAACACTAACACTAACACTAAAGTTTACAATCATCACCTGTAAGGTGACCTAAACAGAAGAAAGAAGACTAGTAAGACTATCACAGCACGTACAAGAACACTTTCAAGTGTGGGAATGCTAAAGGCGATCTATGTATATGACAGCGGTGTATGTGCAAAGTATGTGTATGTGCTGTGTCAGGTGGTAAAGTCCAGTGGTAGTTCGAGGAGATGGGTGTCGATTCCAGTGACGATCCGGTGACATCCAATCAGTCAATTAGGCGCCAGCCATCATCGCAATTGACTGCTGGTTTGCGCTTCCTTATCTCGATAGCTTCAAGCAGTTTCCTTGATGGTAGCGAAGCCTCCCTGCCGAGAATCTTTGCCTGGTGGAAGGGCAGAAAGTTGGAAGACTTTAAAGATTCTCGATGCTGGGTACGATAGTGGAAGCCCCAGGGAGCCTTCGCCACCATCGCCCTTGCCTCTCGGTAGTGCTCAGCGAATTGGTCCCTCACCGGCCGCTCGGTCTCACCAACGTACAATTCCGCACACAACGTGCAAGACATACAATAGACAACACCTTTGACTAAACACTGATTATCCACCATACTCGCATCACATGCACGACACTCCATTGGTCGACCTCTCCCTCTCTTCACCTCCGATCGCTGCTTCTCACGGGGACACACACGTACAGCACTCGACGATCGGACCAACATATCCTTCAAAGAAGGACCAGACACAAAGACAACACGAACATGCGGACTGAACTTTCGAACACGTCGTGAGACACGAGCGGCAAGTGAGTCGTTGATGAAGGGCAGTTTGATGACTGACTTGAATTGGTTGTGTCTGCGCTTGCTGTCACGCTGCTGTTGTTGAGACGGGTGTGTATCTTGTCTCTTCCCCTTGGCCGCTCGTCGTGCTGCGTTTATCTCGGTGCGTGGATAGTCATTTCTCTCGAGCAACTCTTCAATTATAGACATGCTCCTGTCTTCCGCTTCCGGTGTTGACGAGTTACGGATAGCTCGAGAGAATTGGTTCGTTGCAACAGCTCTTTTACACGACCAGGGGAGACATGATTCATAAGACAGGTGGACACCACTGTGGGAAGGCTTAACATAGAGCTCCCACTCTATGCTGTTTCCACGCACAGACAGAGCTAGATCCAGGAAGTTCACTGACTGAGTTTCGTTGACCGAGTGTTCCATTGTGAATTTGATAGTAGTGTGCTGTCCGTTGAAGTGATCTAGAAGTGCTGTTAAACCTTTCCAGCCATGTCTCCACAGTAGTATGCAGTCGTCGATATATCGCTTGTAGAGATCTGGCATCACTGTAGCTGTCGAGAGGGCCTTCTGTTCAAGCGCATCCATGAAGAGGATGGCCAGCGGAGGTGCCAGATGGTTCCCCATCGCAATTCCACGCTTCTGACGGTACTGTTTACTATTGAACTCGAAGTAGTTGTTTGACAGAACATACTGCAACATCAGCTGTACATCCGCAACCGTCAATCCAAGCATGTCGACATCATCTTTATGCTGCTCTAGCTGTAAAAGAGCTGTTGCAACGAACCAATTCTCTCGAGCTATCCGTAACTCGTCAACACCGGAAGCGGAAGACAGGAGCATGTCCATAATTGAAGAGTTGCTCGAGAGAAATGACTATCCACGCACCGAGATAAACGCAGCACGACGAGCAGCCAAGGGGAAGAGACAAGATACACACCCGTCTCAACAACAGCAGCGTGACAGCAAGCGCAGACACAACCAATTCAAGTCAGTCATCAAACTGCCCTTCATCAACGACTCACTTGCCGCTCGTGTCTCACGACGTGTTCGAAAGTTCAGTCCGCATGTTCGTGTTGTCTTTGTGTCTGGTCCTTCTTTGAAGGATATGTTGGTCCGATCGTCGAGTGCTGTACGTGTGTGTCCCCGTGAGAAGCAGCGATCGGAGGTGAAGAGAGGGAGAGGTCGACCAATGGAGTGTCGTGCATGTGATGCGAGTATGGTGGATAGTCAGTGTTTAGTCAAAGGTGTTGTCTATTGTATGTCTTGCACGTTGTGTGCGGAATTGTACGTTGGTGAGACCGAGCGGCCGGTGAGGGACCGATTCGCTGAGCACTACCGAGAGGCAAGGGCGATGGTGGCGAAGGCTCCCTGGGGCTTCCACTATCGTACCCAGCATCGAGAATCTTTAAAGTCTTCCAACTTTCTGCCCTTCCACCAGGCAAAGATTCTCGGCAGGGAGGCTTCGCTACCATCAAGGAAACTGCTTGAAGCTATCGAGATAAGGAAGCGCAAACCAGCAGTCAATTGCGATGACGGCTGGCGCCTAATTGACTGATTGGATGTCACCGGATCGTCACTGGAATCGACACCCATCTCCTCGAACTACCACTGGACTTTACCACCTGACACAGCACATACACATACTTTGCACATACACCGCTGTCATATACATAGATCGCCTTTAGCATTCCCACACTTGAAAGTGTTCTTGTACGTGCTGTGATAGTCTTACTAGTCTTCTTTCTTCTGTTTAGGTCACCTTACAGGTGATGATTGTAAACTTTAGTGTTAGTGTTAGTGTTAGTTTTCTTGCCAAATCAGTGTGTCTGTGTGTATGTGTGAGTTTTCTCATCTTTCGTTTTGTTTAGGTCACCTTACAAGTGATGATTGTTTAGTTTGCTGGCCTTGCCAATTGTGTCACCACGATGTGTTAGTTCTAGAACATTCATCTGCCTGCATTATTCGTCTTTATATTTCGTAATTTGGCCTCCCCTTCCTCAATGCCCTGATGATGCCCAATGGGCGAAATATTGGCAAAGTTATTTATTTGGTGCAGCTGAGAGCCTGTTGCCGGAATGGCGGTGTTTTCGAGTGCAAATAATAATAATAATAATGGATTTGCTCCACACACCGGAGCTCGCGCTATTTCGCCGACTTTACTTGACACTTGACTGACTCACGACTGCCATCCAGAGCACACGAGAAGTCCATCGAACCTTCGACTCGGCAAACCTGCAAGAAAGCACCACTCCCTGCTCAATACACAGTGTTTCGGGGAATGTTCATTTCTCGCTTTGATTGTTAAAATTCACACTTGTAAATTTCACTGCTGTTGCTCTTAGTGTTATTTCTCTAACTTGGATTTTCTATAATAGTTCAATTTTTGTTTCAGTGTCCTTTAGTACAACGACGATTCCTGATGAGTGTTGTACGAAAACTTGTTTGAATCCATATTTTTTCCCTACACCATTTCTAAATAAATAAACAATGTATAATATACATCAGTGTAAATGTTCAAATGTTTAGAAGAAAAAAAAGGGGGATGAGTGGTGAACATAAAGAGAAAAGAAGAAAAACATATGCCGAATGAACCTGGGCAATATATACATGTAGCTGGTGAGAGACTGAACGTTGCCAACAGTGTCAAACAAAATTGCACGATATCGTTCAAACCAAACTGGATCATCCAATAAGCGCTTAAAACCACGATCGAACTGTGAGGTAAACAAAGAGGATTTCAAGTCATTAGGTAGAGCATTAAAAAAAAGAGCAGCACGAAGCACAAAGGATTTTTGACCGAGTGTTGTTCTGCATTTTAAATAAGGGATATCATGTGTGTCGCGATTACGCGTGCTCCGGGTAGATTGCGGGGCTGGGAATAACGATGTAAATACAAGCAAAGGGCGAAGAATAGGATTAATGAAAATGAACTTCCCAGTTGACACCAGAAAATAGTAGTCCAGGG